GCCATCAGGTGGTCTCCACACCAGCTTTGTCTACTTCCACCACCACTACCACCCCGACCAGTTGGCGCATCCCAACACACACACAAAAAAGAAATTGTACCCGGTTAGCTACAGGGGGGAAACATGCGGTGGGTAGCGGGTAGCCTGCTCGGGTAGTAGTCGCCATACGAGAGGCAGGACAAAACACCTGCTGTACTCAACTCTCTCTCAAGTTGATTATAATGGCGTGAATGTGAATCTTCATGGCTACAACGAGTCTATTCAGTGTTTGAGTACGGGCGTTTCAACGACCTTTTGAATATTAATCTGATATGATGGTTTGTTTTGTTCAAAATGAGTGCGCATACATACGTCAATGTTCGGCATCTGCTTCAGTGTCGTGATTTGCGCGGATGTCACCGCTGTTCCCGCGCTTCTGAATAAGGCTCAGTGAATATTGTTACTAGCTTTTACAGTCGTTGCATACCTAAGTAGGACGCTGTTTACAAGCAAGGCGTATTTTGAAGTGGGTTTTTTTAACGCAAAAATAGTTATAATATAATTAAACTATATTTTGAATGACAAGGAGTTGAATATCATTCTACGTGCATTGGTTGTTAATGTTTACATTAAAAAAGTTTCGTAAATACATTTTTTAGGCGTATGTGTTTTCTTGTTCATGTGTTTGGATTAATATCTGTTTTCTGAATCCGGTGATCTCCCATCGCAGATCGTGTTTGTCATTTTATTTGCTTTTATACGTGGTGTGTCAGGCATGATACCGCCGTAGAGAAAAGGGCGAGGGCGAGGGAGCGAGAACGCTGACAGAGATAAATCCGCTAGGTACGGAAGGCGAACTTCATAGTGACATTTTCTTGTGGAAACTTCGGACTGTTACAGGCCTTAGCCGTCGCTTGATTACCAGGATATTTACGAGGATGTTCGCGATGACAACTTGACAAAAAATGTCGGGACAAGCTTCGGATTCGAAGGTATGGGTTCAAGTGTGCAGCTGTGATGTGTTCCCATCGCTTTCTGCTGTTTTTAAAATAAAAATTAGAGTCTCTTATGAAGACAATGGACTCTACATCTGAATACGAAAGAAATGGGGGGGG